GGGGGCTGGGTGGCGCGGGAGAGGGCGGCAGGAAGAGGGCGTTCGAAGAGAGTTACCGCCGGAGAGAGTGGCAAGTGCCCGCGGTCTCCTTGGAGACGTGCTGACCAATGGCAGCCGCCGAAGCTGTTTATGGGGGCGGAGCGTCGCCATGGCAGCAGGAGAAGCCTTCGGAGCGGCTACTTAATGCCGGTCCCGGAGCCGCGGGCGCTCAGAGAGGCGCCGTCGGGCGGGGGGGCGACGAAGGGCGCTGGCAGGGCCCTCGAGCTGGGGACGGAGAGCCGCGGGGGGTGGGAGGAACTTCTTCCAGAACCTTCCTTTGACCCGGGCTGCGCTCTGAAGCAGGTAAGGGACGGGGAGGGCAGTGGCAGAGGAGACCCGGGAGGCAGCCCGCTCGCCTAGCCGTCCCCGACGGGAGCGGCGGGTTTAACGACTCACATCCGAGGGGCTTTGAGCGGCCCCCATGACTCCACGTCCACGCCTGCCCCCTTCTTCCCCGCGGGTCCCATCCTCAGACCCTTTCTCAGAGACCAGACGACCTCTCCTACTCCCTAACGCCCCAGTCTCCCCCACACACAGTCCTCCTGGACCCCTCCTCGCCGGTTTCCATTTGTTGCGGGGGGGGGGGGAGGCGACGGGGTAAGAGGGGCTTTGACTTCCCGCTCCGGGGAGAAGAGAGCTCCGGAAACCCCTACACTCTTCCCTCCTTGGCAAGAAGTGTCTGAAACCCGGAGGGCAGGAGAGCGAGGACCCGGCAGGGCGGCCCCAGGGCGTCGCTTCGGCTTCCCAGCTTCGCCACCGAAACTTCCTCCCCAGCGGGGGGTAAGAGGGTCTGAGAGGTGCCCCCCTCCGCTCCCTGGGGAAGGGGAGGATCCTCAGCGGGGCTGTGGTCCCCGCAGGCGTCCCAGGCACTCCGGGAGGAGTCGCCCCCCAGGTCGCCGGATGGAAGCGCGCGTCCGGGAGGCGGTGTAACTGGAGCCGCGGGAGGCAGCGGTCCGGAGAGCGCGGCGGGCCACCCTCGGCTCAGCCCGTGGATGTTGACCGCCCCCTCGGAGAGTCCCCGCAGACATGGCGGAGAGCTGGCTGCGCCTCTCTGGGGCAGTGGTGGCGGAGGAGGCCGGGCCCGAGGGCGGCCTGGAGGAGCCCGACGCCCTGGATGACAGCCTGACCAGCCTGCAATGGCTGCAGGAATTCTCCATTCTCAATGCCAAGGCCCCCGCCCTGCCCCCCGGGGGCACCGACCCCCACGGCTACCACCAGGTGCCAGGCTCCACTGCGCCGGGGTCGCCCTTGGCGGCGGACCCCGCCTGCCTGGGGCAGCCGCACACTCCCGGCAAGCCCACCTCGTCCTGCACTTCCCGGAGCGCGCCCCCGGGGCTGCAGGCCCCGCCCCCCGACGACGTGGACTATGCCACCAACCCGCACGTGAAGCCGCCCTACAGCTACGCCACGCTCATCTGCATGGCCATGCAGGCCAGCAAGGCCACCAAGATCACCCTGTCGGCCATCTACAAGTGGATCACCGACAACTTCTGCTACTTCCGCCACGCAGACCCCACCTGGCAGGTAGGGGGGCGGGGTGCCCTTCCTCTTTCTCTCCCTCAAGCCCTGCTCACTGGACTGCAGCCCAGAGCCCCGGGCCGCCTGCACGGTGCGGCCAGAGGTCCTGAGGACAGGAAGCCCCGAGCAAGGACGCCAGGGAACCTGTGCCTGGACGGCCCCTCCTCAACTGCCAAAGAGGGAAGAGGGAGGAGGGCTGTAGGGACGCAGACGGTGAGGCTCAAGGGGCTCAGCCAGGTGGAGTGACCACCGCCCGGCAGGCCCAGCCTGGGGCTGCATGTACGTGGTCCCCAAGGGGAGGGTGATGGACCAAGGGACGCAATTTTGTCCCCAGTCCTAGAATTCCTGGGCACTGCCCTGCCCAAGTGCACTTGGTGCTGAGGACTCAGAAGCAGAAGCTGGAGCGCCGGCTGCCAGGCTCTGGGTCCAGCTTCCCAGGGGGCTGGGGTGTAGGGGCCAGAGGGGAGTGCTGCCGGGCGTGCCGGGAAGGAGTCCAGGCCGTCCTGAAGCTCTGTCCCTGCCCTCACCCAGGCCTTCCCCGGTTTCCTGCCTCCCCCCACCCCCAGGCAGCCTCCCTGGGGGGCAATTACCTGAGCCAGGCGCCTTCCACAGGGACTCTGCTGCGTTCTGGCTTCATGTTCCAAGTCTCCAGAACCTGACACAGCAGCCGAGGGGCCTGGGCCGCCATGTAAACAGCCCTCCTGGCCAGGGGTCCCCGCCCTCCAGCACCCTGCTGTCCCACCTCGGACCCTTGTCTCCCAGTGGCCTGGACAGGGCGAAGGCCCCGGGTGGCCTGGTGGGGTGGCTATTTCAGGCTGAAGAGTCCGACCATTTGGTATCCGGCAGGTGCCTGGAGGATGCCCAGCCTCTCCCCCGGGGCACCCATGGCAGGCCCGTGCTCTGCTGCATTTGCTTGGGCCCTGGCGGGGGTAGTGCCCTCCTAGCCTGGGCGAGAAGCAGGCCCCTGCCCTGACCAGGGGAGCCAGGCTCCGGGAAAGAGCACTGTGCTTGCCCTGAGTTATCATTACCTGAGGCCTCAGAGCCTGGGGTAGGAGGGGGCCTTGGGGGGGCCCTCCGCAGCCAGCTCAGCCACCCCAGAAAGTCATCAGATCCCGCCCCCTGCCCCGCCCCTGCACACATCTCACGCCCTCCGTCGCCCAGCCCCCTCCCTGGACCCACTCCACAACAGGGCCAGCAGGCCAGGCCGCAGACGTTGGTCCAGGCCCTGGGGGAGCTGAGGTCTCCGGCCAGAGACCGCAACGGCGGGGTGGCACCAGAGCCACCCTGCGGCTCAGGGCGCGGATGACTGGGCAGGCAGATATCCCGGCAACAGGAACAAAAGCTCCCGACAGCACTCGGCTCTGGGGCCTGTGGCTGGTGTCCCAGAGAGCGGCCGACCCCTCCCCTGGCCAGTGGAGCTCCGTCACCACCCCTCGCTCACTGCGCCTTCCCTCTTGCTCTCGCCCTGTGCCCAGAACTCCATCCGCCACAACCTGTCCCTGAACAAGTGCTTCATCAAAGTCCCTCGGGAGAAGGACGAGCCCGGCAAGGGGGGCTTCTGGCGAATTGACCCCCAGTACGCAGAGCGGCTGCTGAGCGGAGCCTTCAAGAAGCGGCGGCTGCCGCCGGTGCACATCCACCCGGCCTTCGCCCGCCAGGCCGCGCAGGAGCCGGGCGCTGCGCCCTGGGCCAGGCCGCTGACCGTGAACACCGAGGCCCAGCAGCTGCTGCGGGAGTTTGAGGAGGCCACCGGGGAGGGGGCCTGGGGCGTGGGCGAGGGCCGGCTGGGGCACAAGCGCAAACAGCCGCTGCCCAAGCGGGTGGCCAAGGTCCCTCGGCCCCCCAGCACCCTGCTGCTGACCCAGGAGGAGCAGGGCGAGCTGGAGCCCCTGAAAGGCAACTTTGACTGGGAGGCCATCTTCGACACGGGGGCGCTGGGCGGGGAGCTGGGCGCTCTGGAGGCCCTCGAGCTGAGCCCGCCGCTGAGTCCCGCCTCGCACGGGGACGTGGACCTCACTGTCCACGGCCGGCACATCGGCTGCCCCGCGACCTGGGGGCCTCCGGCGGAGCAGGCTGCCGACAGCCTGGACTTCGATGAGACCTTCCTGGCCACGTCCTTCCTGCAGCACCCCTGGGACGAGAGTGGCAATGGCTGTCTGCCCCCAGAGCCCCTCTTTGAGGCCGGGGACGCCAGCCTGGCCGCCGACCTGCAAGACTGGGCCAGCGTGGGCGCCTTCTTGTAAGAGGCCAGGCCCCGCCCCACCTCCGGACAGTGCCCAAGTCAGGGCCCAGACTGCCCCCCAACACCGGCCCACGGATACCCTAGCACCCAGGCAGGGGCTGGGCCAGGCTCCTGAGAGGCTGGCCCCGCATGGCCACACTGCCCCCAGCCCGGCATCCTCAGATTCGAGCCCAGGAGGCTGAGAACTGGGGGCACAGGACTAGAATTGCTGCCTCCCCTCCCCAGCCCCCCATAACACAGTGTTTCATTGGTTCTGGCTCCCGCACCCTGCAGCCGGCTAAAGCCCCTGTGCTGGCGAGTGCCTGCCTGGGGGCACCGGCTGGCAGCAACAGCACAGGCCGGCCCAGAGCACCCAGCTCCCTCCTCTCCTACTTCCCTCCCCAGGTCTCTATCCAGAGAAAGTTCCCAGGTACAACAAATGCTAATTAGGTGACAGCAAATTAAACCCCGGAGGCCTTTCCCTGCAAAGCCTCCCTGGGCTGGGGCTGCGGAGGGGCGGAGCTGGGGCTCCGGCCGGGAGGGGGCTGGGGGAAGCTGGGTGCTGGCCCCGGATTTTCTGTAAGGCCTCTGGGGTCTTCTGGCTCCATCCCTAGAGGTGGGGCTGTGGATTAAATCCCTAATCTTTGAGCCTGACGGGCTGAGCAGCGGGGAGTGGGGTTGGGGGCTGGGGTCGGGCACAGACAGACTAATGTAGTGAGTAGCTGTAGCTGAGGCTTAACGGGAGGGGCGCAGGCCGCAGGGGCCGGGAAGGGGGTCACCCCGCCCCTGCCTGCACCTTCGGAGGGCAGTGGCTCACCCCCTCCAGCCCCCCCACCGGCTTCTTCCCCCCTTCCGCCCTCCTGCCCCATGGGGCACTTTAACCTTTTTCATGGAAAGTTATTTACAATAAAAAGTTTTTAAAAATAAAGTTTTAAAAAATCTGAAGGGCCAGCTTACAACTTTTGGGGGCGCGTGACAAGGGCCAGCGTGGCTTGTTTTGTTTTTTCGGGGGGGGCGGTTTCCTTCCCTGCCTGAAGAAGGGACGGCTGGGAGAATGATGGAGGACCACTGAAGGCCTGCAGAAGGCGCCCTGATGACCCCACCCCACGCCCCGTATCCCCAGGGAAAAAATGGCTGTGGGGGTTGCGGGGAGCCCCTGCTCAGTGCTCAGTGCTTCCCTCTGTGCAATGGGGAGAACGGGCGCCCACTGCCCTGGGGGGGTGGGCAGCAGAGGGAGCGCCCCTCTGGGGACTCTCAGAGGCAGGTTTGGGGGGGCTGGGCTCTGGGACCCACTGCAGGGCCTGCCCCGGCTTGCCTGCTCACACTGCCCTGCCCGCCCACTCCAGCACCGCCCTCGCCCTCCCTGCGGGGACTGGGGTGAGGACAGAGGGACTGAGCCCCAGGGGCCCCACTTCCCACCCCGGGGCTGAGCAGCAAAGGCGGGTGCCCAGGCCCTATGCACCCACCCTTACTCCATGAGGTCCACAGGGAAACTGAGGGGCAGCGAATACGTGTTGGCATCTTTAATCCTCACCCCTGTTGGCATCTTTAATCCTCACCCCCACGCTGCCTGGTCACCCCGCATGCGCAGCCCCGGCACAGACCCCTTCCACACAGCCCCGTGGCTCCAGGCCAGCCTGGCATTCCCCGCTAACTTGCTGCTTTCACTTGCTAATTATTCCAAATATTTCAGAAGGGCACACACATGGCAGCGCCAGCCTGTGGCCTTGCGCCCGGCCCAGCAGCCAGCCCAGCCCTTTACACAGTTGGCCAGCCGCGGCCCTGAGCTTCCCCTCGCCCAGCTCTCCCCTCTGGCCCACCGTCCTCGCTCTCTGTGGCCCCAGTTTCCAGGGTCTCCACTGGCCCCCAGGGTCAGCCACCCAGCCCGGACAAGTAAGCCGGCATGCCACAGACCTCCTGACCAGGCCAGGGGAGAGGGACAGTTTGGGCGGGCAGAACAGCCGAACCAGGTGAGTGGCTGCCTAAGAGGTCCCTGGCTGCATGGAAGACGCCCTAGGGTGCCCCTGAACATCCCAGTGCCAGGGACCAGAGTCGGGGGTGGCCACCCGGGCATCAGCATTTTTAAAGGTCCCCAAGACACTTTCACGGTGCATCCAAAGCTGAGAAGGTGACTGAAAGGAACGGAGGCTCTGACATCCCCACCCCCCACCCTGTCTGGGGGCGTTTGGAAAAGGTCATTTGCCTCGTGTTCATTTCTAGTTCAGTGTGGCCCCTGTCAAGATACATTCTGCACCATTTGAACTTAAGTTGCAGACAGGCATGGCACGAGGCCCTTGAGTGCATTTCCTGAGAAGGGAGCCTGCTGTCTCCTGCACCTGGCACGGACGCGGGCGTGGGCCTGGCACCCCGCCCCCCAGGCCCCACTGACGGCCCCCCAGCAGCCAGGTCCGGGACCCCACTAGAGCACCACGTGTTGAACAGGGGGTTGAGGTTCCAGAAGCACGTTCTCTGTTCAGGCTCCTCCTGCTCTCACCTGAACCCTACCCTTGAGGCAATTGGCCCTGCACCACCCCATTTAGGGTGTTGGGGGAGCCCCTCCCCAAGCAAGCAGCCACTGTTAGCCCCCCGACCTTGTGGCCTATCCATTCTCCCCCACATGACAGGGGAGGGCAGGAGCTTAGCCCCCTGCAGACCTCCCCCTTGCCCCCCACCCCAGCCCAGAGCACATCCTGTTCCTGGGGACCCACTGCCCCACCCCTTCCAGGACCCTTGGGGTGTCAGAAAGCCCTGGGCATTCCCCCCCACCACCCTGAGTCCTGTGCTTTGCTGGAACAAACAGGCCAGGCCTCCTGCAGGCTGGACAGGAACTGCTCCCCTCCCACCCACCCCAGGCACCCCAGGGCCCCAGACTTTCGGAAGGAAGAAGGTGAGCGGGAGGCCGGAGGCTGAGTGGTCAGGAGTCAGGTCCTCACATCCTGGGCTGAGGCCCAACGGCAAACAGGTGTATTTGGACTCCTGGCAGGGGGTGGGCCAGTGGGCAGGCCTGGGCCTGCCGGGGAGGGGGGAGGGGCCTGCGCTAACAATGGGGCGGGAGCCCAGCCCAGCCTGCTGACACATTCTTGTGTCCTGAAGAGGAAAACGCAGGTGACCGCGAGGGGAGGCGCCCTGAAGCAGGGGAGGGGGTTTCCAGAGGCCACCGGAGCTGACCAGAGTGAGCTGCCGAGGCACATGGAGCCCCGGGGGGTCACCTTCATCCTGGGGCTCAGGCACAGGTGACACAGGCCAGAGCCACGGAGCTGGGCGTGCTGGGGCTTGAGCTTCCCCTTGGTCAGGAGCAGGCGGGCACGGCTGGAGGGCACTGCCCCCCGAAACCAACCAGTCGGAGCGGAGCGGCAGGGCAGAGAGAGGGCCCAGTGGGGCCACAGTGCTGACGGTCGCCTCGGGTAGCGCCCCTCGCCCAGCCCGATGGGAGGGGCAGCACCCCGTGGGAGCCCCAGCCTCGCCCCCGGAAGGAAGCTCCCAGGGCCGAGTCCCAGGAGCCGGGATGGCAGCCTCTCACCGGCAGCCCACCCCGCGCGGACCCCCCTCGGCCTCACCACACCCACTGTTTGCCCAGGTAGTTAAGCTGAGGCTGGCGGCTGGCAATTGTTCTCCCCTCCCGGCCACCCACTGACTGTGCCAATGGCCTGTCCCCCCACCCCAGTTCCTGCCTCACTCTGGGCACCAGGCCTGTCCCCCTCCCAGGCATCCCAGTTCCCTCCAACTTGCTTCAAGTGACCTGCGGCCCTGCCTTGGGCAGGGGAGGTGAGGGCCCGAGCGCCTACAGCCCCTGCCTCGGTGCCCAGGTCCCAGAAGGCTGCCAGTCTGCTGACCCCAGGGCAGAAGCCCTGCCCGGCCCGCTCACTCCTACACTCCCAGCATGGAGCTGCTTAAACAGTGATGGACGAACGAACGAACGAGTGAAAGAAATGCTGGCTGGGCCCATCAGTGAAGGGCAGGAAAGCAGCTTAAACAACCTTGGCAATAGCGGCACTGGCAGCAAACACCCAGGGCCTGGGCCTGGCACTGGGCTGCAGAGAACGTTCCTAGCAGGGCCCATGTCAAGGCGCGTCCAGGGGCCCTGTTCTGGAAACAGGAAGGGCCCGAATCCTGACCCTGTGGGGTCATGAGAGAGACTAGGGACCCCGAAAACCTGCAGAAGCTGAGTGGCTGGTGTGAGCCCAGGGAGGAGGGAGGAAGGGGGTGCAGTGAGGAAGAAGAAAGGCCCTCTGGGGCCCGGTCCTGAGATGAGGGCCTCAGAGCACCGAGAGGTAGGGCTGGCAGGGTCTGACATTCCAGTCTCTGCCACCTCTCACTACCCTGCCCAAACCTGCAGGGGGCAACTGGGCCACTTGCCTGTTGACACCCCAAGTCACTAGGACAGAGATGTGCCCACCCAGCATCCCTGTAGCCCCGATCCACTGTGCGCCAGGACAGGACCCTGGGCCTCAGAGCCGGAACCCCTAGAACCCTGGAAGCCCCAGGCTAGAACTGTGAGGGGCCTGCAGGCGTCTGAGCTAAAGATTACCCCTGACTTGGTGGGGACTACCGGGGGGCTGGGTCAGGAGCTGGCGCTACCCCACAGGGCCAGGCTGGGATGTGACCACCCGTCAAGGCCAGTTTGGACAAGGCGGACGGGGTGTCAGGCTGGGGGCTGGGGTGCACCCCATGCACATGCCTTGGGTCCCTGTTTCATGTGGGGGCTGGACTGAGGGGCGTGGGACAGTGGAGGAGTCCCACAGAGGAGGAGGCAGTCAGCCAAACACTGGCCCCAACTGGACCCCAAGCCTTCCACTTACGGACAGGTGGGTCATGAGAGAGGGATCCACACCCTGACCCCATGGCCTGATGGGAGTCAGAGCCCAGCTGTGGCCCAGAAAGGCACCATTCCTGCCTTTGCCTTGAACCTTGACCTCTGCCACTCTTACCCAGCTCCTAGTGTCCAGAGCCTCCCAGGCCCTCCCTTGCAGGGGACCAGAGGTGACTTCCGAGGGGCCAGCGCAGAGGTCACAGGTGAATAAGGGCAAATAAAGCGGAGCCAATTTGGGGGAGGGAGGAGAGGGCAGTGGTCTTAGCCCTGGCCTGTGGCCACCAACCCAGGTTGCTCAGGGGACACAGCAGAGACTGTTGGCATGTGGATTCCAGAAACCAGAAGAACAAAACCAGGGCTAAGCAAATTCCTGGGGCCACCCAATGAAGGTAGAAGCTAAAGTCCTAGCGCGTGGAATCTTCCAGAACCAAGACTGGGAGAGGAGAGGAGAACAGAGAGCAAGGAGGACCAGTGTTAGGGCAGGAGCCTGGTGTCCTCCAGCTCCCCCACAACGGTTCCGAGCCCCACCCTGCAGAGAGCCAACAGCAGGAGCGGGAAAGGAGCTGGCGCTGGTCCAGGAGGGCCCTGGCCTCCCGCCGGGCGTCTCATTGTCGCGGCAGGCAGGGCAGAGCCCAGATGGCAGGCCACAGCGCTGCAGAATGGGGAGGGAAGCAGGAGCGTGTGGGCAGTGGTGAAGACAGCCCTGGGGAGGCCTTTAACGATGGGGTACGCGTGTGCTTGAAGGAGACAGGGGCTGGCCTGGGAAAGGAGAGCCCACATGCTGGGGTGCGGCATGCCAGTGCCAGAGCAGGGGGAAGGGTCCTTGCCAGTGGGAGGAGGAGCAAGAGGGTCTCAGAGGGGGCCAGAAGGCCCCAGCCCAGGGGGAGGGAAGATGAAGGTGGGGTGAGGCTGTGCAAGAGGACGTGTGAGGAGCTCTGGCTCCAGCTAGTGGCGGCGTGTTGGGGTGTAAGGAGTCAGGAGCCTCTGAAGCCGCCTGGCAGGGCACTCAGGAGCCAGGGGAGATGGAGGAAGGACGGGCAAGTGGGAGGTCAGGCCTTGGACTCTTCAATGCG